AATCTTTTGCAATGCTAGAAAAAAATTTCATTTAATAGAATAGGGTTTGTCAAAACTTATGAAATTAATTAATCGATTAAAATATTATGTTTCAACGTTCTAGTTGGACTTTTGTAAATTTTCAAGCTGTTTTATTTAATCAGTACCTATTGTTTATCTAATACAATCAATTTAAAAAATACGGCTCAATATAAATATTTTAATTAATTACGAATGCAAGAAAAATGAGGATGAGTATATTTTCACTTGAGAATATTGTAGTATTTTGGATGTAACCGATCTTATAAGCAGTTCAAATTTTTATGATGTTAGAGAGACTTACCATCCTCATTTCAATGTGCAATTCGATAATCAGTAGTTCAAAGCCATACCAAATACGAGGACAAAGATGTCATAATTTCATATGAGAAGAGTGCATAAAAAAATATAAAACAACTTAACATTTATTATAACATAAGTACAAAACCTAATTTGTATCAATCGATTATAACATCTAGCTATTAAATCTGAAGATATAATAACCGTACATATCGCTATTTTTCAATTCTAGCCGTTTTACTTGGTCAATCAGAAACTGTTTTAAGTGATTTCAATTTTCTGCTCATCGTTTTTTTATAAAAAGAAATTTTTTTACATGATAGTTTTACACTAATGTACATTTACATTGAAATCACACTACGAGGCGATTACACCACTCACACGAATTTCAAGTCATAAACTCGCCAAGTGTTTCCTACTATCCTGATATTTCAAGTCTCTCATCTGGCTTTCACTTCTCTTTGCCCTTGAAACTCATTCGAGATCTCAGCTGCATGTGCCCACGATAGCACTTGTGACCTTAGATTATTTTTTATTTTCACTTTGACTGTCCGTGTTTATTATAAAACTATTATGCACAATTATGTAACGACACTGAACACGTGCGATTCCATTGCTAAATAAACTTCTAATTATCATTTGGTGGATTTTTATTATTAGACCTCATTTATTTACTCGCAAAATTAAAGATTGTCTCTTTTTTCTCTAATTTTTTATTTATTTTTCATGTTTGAAAGCATCTTAAAAAGTTTTTATTTTGACAATTTTAAATTGTCATTCTTTTTTTTGCAATAGTTTATATAATTACACATATTATAAATAAACTATATTCAAAGAATACTTTCGTAGTACGGATGTACAGCTCTAGATAGAAAAATTTGTGATTTAATAGAAAATTATTTGAGGATCAAAAAATGTATTAAAATTAAGAAACGATGTTAATTTCCAAAATAACAATTTTTTCGGAGTAATATTACAATGTAACGATGTACTTCTATTTTCAAAGTTTTAAAATGTATAGAAGTACCACGATATCTTCAAATATTAAAGGTTAAATGTAGTAATGTCATGAATATTGTTTATAACTCAATAAAAGGATCAGCTTTACCATCTCGATCTCTCAGCTTCAATAGAACAGGTTTGGAGAGTCCTTCCCCCTTTTGTTCTCAACGCATCGTGTTGTCCCTAAAGCACCTACTTTTCTGCTATGGATCCCTGACAATGCTGCCCTTAAACTCCAGTCCAAAGTAAGCAAGTGGTTGCAGTACTACAGGCGTTGTCTTTACATCGCTTGCATTGTAATAATCAAACCACTATACTGATAATTGCTAAGTCTCTTGATAACTAACATTGATGTCAAAAAATACTGAAAAATGTTACAAAAGTAAAATTCTCATTATATATTAACTATAAAAGTCTGTAAATAATATTCATTATTCTTTTTATCATTATATCTTTGATATTTACAAGTAATTTACCAAATAATTTTGTTGAGCTTCAAATTTATGTTTGAATAATTTTATTAATTAATTTAAGTACTTTTATTATTTATAGAAATAATTTGAAAAGACAGTTTTAAAAAATTACGTAGTACGTGAAAAAAAAATGTTAATGAAATAGATTTTTGTTTTTATCGTTCTGCCTTTGGTTTAGACGATCAATTTTTCAAAGTTCAGATCATATTGGCGTGGTAATAAATAAAAAAGCTGCTCACTATCGTATAATTTAGAATTACAGTTTGTACACATTCTTTACGCACCCGGATCAATGTGCCATCTTTATCCTGTTTTCCTGTTCAAAAAATCAACTAAATTTGGTACCTTTTATTTTGCTTTCTACCACTCACATGCTCTTTTTTACTTCCTTCATTGTTGCTTTCTGTAGAAGTTTATGGTAGGATGAAATATTGCTACTCTAGCACGAAATGCCGGCGAATCACAAAGGATAATAATCTGTATTTTAATTAATTATGAGCATAGAATTTAGCCTGCAGACGGACACGTGTCGGTTCCAGGATTAGGACAATATGATATTATAAGTGGTATAGCAGTCTCAAAAATTCTGAATGCCCTCTTCACACGAAGATTCAATTGGTATTTTATTTAACTTTTGGGTCATTATTTATCAAATTTAATTGAGCCCTAGACAATGTAAACCCTTATGATAAAGCGTTGCAAAAAGGCAGCAATAATTTAATCTACCAGTGAATTATTCTGAAACCTCTTATTTAAACTCAATAACTTTTAAAAAGAAATTCACAACGAATAGTTTACACGCTGCATTAGAAGAAAAATGTAACATTTGTTATTGCAAAAATAATGATTGGGACTGTGGTGAAATTTGCAAATAATATTCAAAGCGTGTATGACTGAGAACTTTAGCTCTTTGAAAAAGCGATGCACACACACGGTAATTACGCAGCTAGCAATTTAAACTTACTCGTGTACACGTAGTCCTGGTTTCAGCAGATGCAGAGTATTGTAAGCCTCGAGGCATTTAAATAAATGGGGATTTGATAGGGCGTCGTAACAGGCAAACACGCGAGTACAGGAGTCGTCCGAGGGTCTTTCCACATCTCTTCGCATTCCACCGTCGTCGGAGATCCCCTTATTCTACACCACTTACATCTGTATATTCGTATATATATAGCATGCACTTCTCTCATGGCACTTGAGGAGCGAGTACGCATATACTACACAGGCTTATACGCAGAATCTTTGAGGCGAGGCTTCAAGTGACCTTGATTCCAACTCGTTTTTGCCTCGCTTCCAGCGTGGTAGTTTTTTTGCCGCGAAAGATCCGCCGTCGCAGTCGACACGCACTACGGAGGGTGTAATGCTGTAGTTTCGCTCGTATGCACTCGCGGCAGTCCGGGACTGACTCTCGGCATTGCAACCTTGGCGTTTAGCAGCGAAAGAAACACGCGTAACTAGATGTTTATCAAGCCTCCAGGAGCCCCAAAGAGCTACGCGATTAGAAATGATGTAAAGCAACGATCATCGAGGGTGCGTAAGGCAAGTCACGGGGGTGCCACGTATTAGGCTCACATGGAAGTGCGAAAGCAAACGCTCGCGTGGACAATTCAAGGGGTCGTATGCTTCAAAAATTCTACCCAATAGTGCGTACGCACGCACACGCATGTGTGTGACCCTCCTTTTCCGGCTTTAGTCGTGAAAAGAGCAGAGAAAGAAGCCCTGCTGGCGCGCGTATACGGTTTTTCAAAGGATCAATATCATACGCGTCAACGCCGCGCGCCTGTATTAAGAATGCTACCAGCTGCCCTGTCGAGAGCACAATTCCTGCCTGTGAGCCTCATGAATGTACATTGACGGCATTTCGCCATTTTTAAGGTTTTCATTTTGCCCGATCATCTGTCATCTCAGACTTTATTAAACGCATGAATATTTTATCAAAATCGATTTTTACTTTGAATTCGATGAGATGATCATTAAGAAAACATTTTTTGAAGTTAAAAGAAAAATTTCTAGTTCGCTATCGTTATGAAATCAACTGATAGTATAAGTGGCTGATTTATGAAAATAACGATTGTACCATTCACCTACATTTGGAGACTAAAAGAGTCTATTTAGATTTATGCTAATTGGAGCGTACAGCTCTTTGATAAAGATTATGAATTGCTTAATAAACCGGAACGAATTACGTGTATTATATATCAATTTTAAAACTAGATTGTACTATAAATATCACTATTGTTATTTCTTTAAAAGTTTATCTCAAAGTATTAATGTGTTACTCGGCTACTGATCTCACAATATTCTCACAAACAGAAGCAAATTTGTATCTTTTTAAACAAGAATAATGTTTAATACATCTGAGTCAAAAATTATATCATAAACTTCGTTAACAAAATTGTAAATGACTTATTTTTATTAGATGATTCCGTAAATAATTTTCGTAAAGCTCAAATATGAATAATTAAATATTAAATTAAAGATGGTGTAAAATAAAGTACATAAATATATGCTGACCAATAAACAGTTAAAATAACAAACTTCAAAGTAAAAAATCATTTAGACAGACAAAGAGTTCTTTTGCTTGGCGGCCTCGACGTTTCATTAATGTAATGAATACTCTCGTTGTTTCAGCACATTTTTAACTCATTGTAGTACTTCTTGGAGCAATGGCTTTTTTTCATTAACTGCGTCTCGACGCATTATAGACTTGAAGCAAATTTTCTCAGAAAAAATGTATCTCACAAGAGTACGTCTCGCTCGGCTGCGGGAAGGGATTGATTGAATCCAAGCGTTCATATGCGCGCATTTATGGAAGTATTGCATCGCCAAACGATCGCACTGGAGTGTTTGAAATTACCGACTACCGAGCGCATATGGCAAAATACGATATGCAATATTCACTTTGGTACATTAGTGAGAGACCATATAAACATCGGACACGGGTATAAAAAATTTTAATGAGCACTTTTGGACATAATTGTGCAGTTAAAATTTTGATTAAACATATCTCTATCTATACACGCTCATTTAAGTGTGTGCGTGTGTCGCAATGGTGCTTGTGTTACATAAAATGAGGAATCATCATTTCCTCGGGCATTTATACGCATCATTGCAAACTCGCGGAGCCGAGTGATATCTTTGAAACTTACTCATATGTGTATTGTAAAAATAGAAAGATTGACTATCATCCGTCGAAGTTTACGTCAAGCCGTGTATCTCTTTCTGTCTCTGTCTGTCTTTCTCTCTCTCTCTCTCTTACTCAGTCTCAAGTGTACACAATCTAGTTGCAAAAGAAAAGCTTTATTTTAAATCGTTGATGCGCGACGACTGGCTACGCATTTCCCTTGTACAACCGCACGCTCGCAACCGTCTTCGCAATTGGTCATCAGTTCAAGCTGAGACTCTGGCTACTGAAAACATGTGCTTGAAGAAACGTTCGAGAGGCCAATTCTGATTGTTGCCTTACTATTTACAAGTGTTTTTTTATACAAGTGCTGCTGTTGTTGTTATTTTATCTTGCAAGTGAGGTGAAGAGCGAGTGACACAGCAAGATGAAGTTCAATTCGACATTGTTGATACTGTTGTGTGCTATTAATCTCATTGCCGCTGGTTCTACATCGAGTGGTTGGTCTAAAAGGGATAATCGTCGCTCAGCAAACTCAACTTCATTGACAACTACCACTACTACTACTAGTTCTCCGGAAGATAAATATGATTATGATGATGGTAATTAGCGCGCGTATTTTTAGATTTCATCAAGTCATGATGATACGCGTGACTCTATTATTGAAAATAGGTGGTTTTTTTTATACTTGAAAAAAAAATTGAAACCCTATTGAATATTTGGGTTATTAGTCACGTTAAGCACATCGTTACTTCAAAGAGGGCAGTAAATAAATTGAAAAATTACGTATAAGCATACAAATTGTAATAAAAAATTACGCTCGTTATTTATAAAATACCCTCAAAGGCAAATGAGCTGAAAAAATGTTCTGTCTGGTCGTTTTGAGATAAAAAAAATTGGTTAAACCGATACAAAATGATTAATATACCACCCAAGATGAAGACAAAACATGCTCATGTACCCGAGGCATGTGATAGCGAGAAAGTGTATACGAAACGTCAGAGATAAAAAATTTACACTATCGACTGCCTCGATAACCTTAAGAAACAGAAAGGCGTGCAAGTTGTAAATTTGCGAGTGCAAGTGCGCATTGCTTAAATAAAAAGGATTGTTTTAGCATGGACCGGAGTAAGTAAACATTCACTTGTATCGCGAAAAGACCGACAATCGTGTACAGACGATGCAGGTGATAGCCGGTCGTTGCTCTAGGTCAAATGATGATATTTTTTTAATTATGCTAGTTCCATTAACATCCTTCAAGTAATGAAAATTTACTCGTAGTTCAAAAGTTTATAATTTTTATACAAACGAAAGATTTATATCATATTGTGTGAGATTGCTATTAAATTAAAATTTCTAACTAACTTCAGGAAAGAACCTGAAATGCTGTCTATGCAAAATTACAATTTTTTAAGAGAGAATTCAATAGAAATCTTCAGTAGCTTCATTAAAAGATTAATGCTTTAATTGTTAAATTTCTGATTGCTGGCACTAAATTTTATGAAATATCAAAAAGATTTAAATTATCATTCAAAACTGGTTGACCGAACAGTCTTCCAAGTTTTTTTATTTTTATGGTCATAAACTACACAATTAATTGTACGCATTGCAAAAACTACTACCTCAATTATAGCTTTATTATCTTATTTAAAAAAATTACAGAGTACTTCTGAACAGACAGAAAGTTACAAAAGGGACTGTGCAATACATTTAATTATGTATAGAATATAAATAAATATATACGATAATATTCAAGGTTTTCAAATATAGTTTCTAGTAGTTTTAATAGTGTCTTTATGCAGTCTTCTTCATACTATATTGCATCAATTTTTCAAAAACAACATGGTTAATTGAACGCAAATACTTAGTCAGTTTTTATTTTTATCAGATATTTTTTTGTTACATGTAAAAAATATTATGATATAGTCAAACATAATATTTTGATCGGTCATTGACATGTGAACTAGTATGCTAACTCAGTATTTCGTAATTTTGATGTTGTAAAGTAGATTCTAATGATATTAAGGTTGGTGTCAGATTTTTCATCTTAATTGACGTTTAGAGAGTTTCTTGATTATCGTTTGAAATAATTGAAATCATCGAAAGGTTTAAAAATAGTCACTCAAATGTATATCATATCAACTTACCTAATGGTGACATTTTCAAATGAAATTTGCAAACATGCTTTCTGTATTCAAATTTTTTGACTTCATTTCAGAATGGTTCATGTGGAGGTGCTATCCACCGTTCGGATGTTTTTACATTGGTTCGCCTTGGTCAGGCGGAAGCAGGCCAGTGTCTACTTTTCCTGTCAGACCAGAAACTATCAATCCTCTTTTTATGCTCTATACCAGGCTTCATATCGATGATCCTCATGAGTTAATTATCGATGATATTAATTCGATTAAAGAATCTCCTTTGAGAAAACATGAAAATTTGTACTTCATTATTCATGGCTATTTGGATAATGGAAACAAAACTTGGGTGCTGGTTTGTATGATTGAAATAAAATTTTTTACTAACCATTCCTCGATAAATTTTTAATTATTGCACATAATATTTTATTAGAGAATGATGAAAGAATTACTCTTGCGGGAAGATGCTAACGTAGTGGTCGTTAACTGGATCGGAGGTGGAGGACCACCGTACACCCAAGCGGTAGCGAATACCAGACTCGTTGGAGCAATGATAGGTCGATTAGCTTCGCAGCTAATTCAAAAAGGTCATGTTTTACCTCGGCGTTTGCATTGCATCGGACACAGTTTGGGTGCTCATACTTGCGGTTATGTCGGATATAATTTGAGAGTTCAATACGGTTACAAACTTGGAAGAATAACAGGTAAAGAACTTGGCGTAAAATAAGGGTAAAGTAAAGAAACATGAAACCAACAGGGTCGAAACAGAATTCAGCTCTAAAAACACGCATTTTCAAGTTAATAATCACTTTAAAATAAAAAATTGATTGATATAGGTTTGTACATTTTGAAAAAACAAACATTCGTAAACGAATCGAAAATAATCGATTTACATCAACTCGTATTGGTTAGTTGAATTTTTTTGAAACTAGTATTTAATCCCGCGATAAGCTGCCAGTCGAAGTCAATCGATATCTTTGATTGGAGTATCGAAACACGAATCACGCACGTTGTTACGTAAGCTATCGATCTCATTGGGAACTATCAGGGTGACAGAAGCGCGCAGGATGCTACAGCCGTACAGCTCTCTATACAGGCTATATATTGAATTTCACGTACCCTGAACTTCACATAAAATCTTCGCAGTCTGGAATTACGCTAAACGTTAACGTTTACTCTTTATATTTATAAACAAAGATTCGATATTTGAATAATCTGTCATTTTTATAATGAATGGATCTAACAAAAAAGAGTTTCTAAAAACTACATTTCATAGTCAAAACAGTCATTTGCGTCTTCTTTTTCTTATCTCAATGAGATTGATAACAAATTATTCAATTCTATAATGAATAATTCAATATAGAATACTATGTTTATATCATTTTTTCTATTACATAGAATTTTTTTGCAGTATTCATACTCCTTTTTTCTCATTCTTTCATTCTGTTATTTTTATAGTGATTATATACAAGATAGAAATGAGCCATTATCATGATTTTATCAAATTTTAATTACATCAGGTCTCGATCCTGCCGAGCCTCACTTCAGTAATACATCGCCTATGGTGCGCTTAGATCCCACCGACGCGGACTTTGTCACCGCCATACATACAGATTGCAGTCCTTTCATAAGCGGGGGGCTCGGGATCAGCCAACCTGTCGCACATATTGATTTTTTCCCGAACGGAGGCAGAAACCAGCCCGGCTGCAACGAGGGTGTTTTTAATTCAATAACACTGGAAAAAGGCAGTTTTTTCAGAGGTTGGTACATGTGATAAAAAAATCTCCTCTGTTACGGCGACGATTCAGTTTCTCATTTCAAAATGAAATAATTTTGCAATTTTGTCAAAACTAAAAGAACACGGGTTTGCGCAATGACAATTGCGTTATTACGTAAAAAAAAAAGAATCCAAAAAGTCTAACAGAATTGATAATCGAATACCCGTAAAATTTAAAGCCAAAGCCAAATTATCAGGCACGAAATGTTGTCGAAAAAATCTCCTGAAATGTAATGAAAAGGATTTTGTGATAAAGTAGAGGTCTGCATTGTTTTCACAGGCATCAAGCGATTTCTCGGCTGTAATCACATAAGAAGTTACGAGTACTTCATAGAAAGCATAAACACGGTGTGTCCGTTCTTATCGGTGCCCTGCGCTTCATGGGAAAAGTTTCAAAATGGCAGCTGCTTCGATTGCGTCGAGCAGCACTGTCATAGATTCGGCTTCAACGCCCAACCAGGAAATTATCACGCTTCGGTTTATTTGATGACGGCAAAGGACAAGCCGTTCTGCAGTGAGTATACGCCCGTATATAATAATATTTTGTCGCCGCGCAGTCGAGTGTATACGCACACTTACAATGCGTGCAGTACAACAATAAAATGTGTGTATAGGAGCGCGATGGTATTTGAGGTGAGCGTCGTCGAGCAAGCGCATCCCATTACGCAATTTCGCGCGCGCGCGAAAACACTATTGCATACTCGTGCATTACTTTCGGATCGCGAGATTTTAAAGCGCAAATGGCAAATCGATTTCGCGCCGCGATGGCAAGTGCATCAATGAAATCTTCACCGCATGCACATATATAACTACTATATGTTTGTAGCTTTTCTCAATTCCTTCATAGCGGCAGATCTATAAGCATCATAATAAATCCACTCAAAACTTTCATATCACGCGCGCGCGCATGTACATACACCTTGCGTAACAATATCTCTTTCTCTCGCTGCTACACACATACACATACTACACACACTACACAGTAAATGCGCGCGCGAGTGCAAATTCCTTCCGGCGCAGGACTACTCAATCTTTCATTAAAAATAAACGCTTATGTTGTGTATGCATAATCCCGCGTCCCTTCTCTCGCTCTGTCCAATAAATATGCATGCTCGCGTATAGCCGCATTTTTTCTGGCTCTGCATATTTGCACGCGTTCTTTGCGCCTCCCTTTTACGAATGAATTACTCTATACGTATACACAGGCTGCGCATTTTTCCATCGAGCGGCGAGCGGATTACGTTACGAAGCTGTGGAATTTTTACGAGATTTTTTTTTTACCCTCGACACAGAGGCGCATTACCGAGTGTCCATCAGCATCTCGAGGACCAACGAGAGCCTGAGCTACGGCGGCGAAGTGGGCATGTTCGTGATCCGCGTGATCGGGCCCAACGGCAAGATGACGGACAAGCTCGCGCTCAGCGAGAACTCCAAGTACTACGAGGCCGGCACGAAGCACACCGTGGTCATACCCGGCGAGGTCGTGGGCAAGGTCGAAGCGGTCGAGATCACCTGGAGCTATCAGACGTCCATGTTCAATCCGCTCACGTGGCGGCTGCTGCACAAGCCCAAAGCTTACATCGATTATCTCACGATAAAGAGCCTTGAATTCCATAACGAGTGAGTAGTGGTCTGGCCACCGCAGATTTTGCATAAAATTAATTTCTAATGCCCGCTCGAACGACCGCCTAATGAATAATGAATTATCGACGCTCAACAGGATTACCGTCTGTCCGGGAAATTCGAAGGCCTTGGTGGCGAACGAGCCTCAGATCTTAAAAGTGGAAAATTGTGTTTACAGCGGCATGAACTTAGTCACGACGTGAGATGCTACCCGTGATCCTGCAGCAAGATTAGAATAACATCCGCGCAGCAAAGATCTGCGATGGCCTTTTTAATAGCTCGAGTTCGACTTTGATCGAGCTATATTATGCGTTATCGCAATGATCATTTGTGAGTATAGATTTTAATGAAAAAATTGTAATAAATTATTGAGAACCTTAAGCTCTCCACCTTAATTTATGATAAATAGGTTAGTTAAGTATAAATCGAATGTGCATATCGACTGTATGTAGTATTACAATAACTAACGATAAAAAATGAAGCATGAAAGTTTTATGATAACATTTCATTACTATCGTGTAGAAACATGTACTGCATTATGGATTTGTACGATATCACGTTATTACACCTGTTTGTCATGTATTACTAAAAAAAAATGAAATTTCTAAACGATGTTAATATGACTAGAGAGGGGCAAAATATATATTTCATTTTCTCACTTGGAACGAATAAATCTTAAAATAACAAAATTTCTCTGTTTTCTGAAAATATCTGCACCGTGAAAGTATTCGTAAAAATGCTAAACTCTAGTCATATGAGCACACTTCTTGTGTCAGTCGTGTACACGTTTAAAAAAGATGATTGATTAATTGTATAGAAAGTATAATTTAATGTAGCTTGCTTATATGTTTTATTAACAATAAACTTTTATTGTGATACGTTTTTTAATTTGCTCTATGGCGTCTTTGACAATTTTGTAAATTGAAATTAATTTTTAACTCGTGTCAGCGAGTCGAGATCGATTCTCAAAGTGAAAGAAAAGACACGCGCTAATGAGGTTCGATTATGATCGCTCGAAGCGAAAATATTTTATTGTGATTTTAATGCGAAATCCACGAGTTAAGAAAAGTAAACAGCCCGTAAAACGATCTTACAAACATTATTATTACAAGGTATTATGCGGACCAGACACGCAGATGTGTTATTTGCATGAAATTGGGTACAGTCGAAAGAAAGTCGGAGTTAAATAGAATCGATAATGTACCGCGTGGACAGGTAACGAGTAGCTCGCGGTAAGCGAGAAAAATGCCTCGCTAACGAGAAACATCGCGCTGCGTTGTCGCGCTCGATGATTTAGTGGAAAACGACCGTTATTCGAAAAGTTTATAGTCGCGTGCGCGGCTTCTTATTAGGCCTTTTATATAGGTAGGATGGCGATTCGCACGGCGGATTGAGCAAGAGCAAGCGCGGCGGCAGTATTAAACGCGGCGACAAGCAGTAGCAGGCGATGGTCGCGCGCATTGCTTACTAATGATTTGAATCAAGCGCGTATACACACAGGTTGCTCCGATCACGAGGCTTTTTCACGACTACGCAGTTGTGTCGGTTAAAGTTGGTAAAAGCTTGTGTGCCAGCTCCTGCGACTCGTGTGCGTGTATTTACGCGTGTGTGTTCTCGTCTGGCAGTCACGGGCGCTCTCGCTCGATGTACGCATTATATACACCGTCGTCGGCTGCGGCGTCACGTAACAGATACTCGGCTCTTTACTTGGCGCGCACTCGAGTGTAAGCGATCATCGCATACCTGCGTATACCTCAAGCTCCTTATCCGCAAACGGACGCAAAGACGCACGGGGCCGACGAGTCGCTGTGCTGCGTTTTGCAAAGGCCGCTGCAGCCGGCCGCGATCTTACATCTTGGCCCGAGTCGCGGCCGCGGATGAAGGTGCGCGCAAGGCATGAACTTATAACAGTCTAACGGCTCGGCTGTATTTTATATACGCATGCTATATACCTGTATAGAGGCTCGCGAGTGGTGGGTGCTGCTGCACCTATATACAGGGCGAGAGCTGGCGCGCGAGGCATCGCGTCCGCGACGCTTATTACGAGCCAAAGCAAAGCCAAAGCAGCAGTCGAGAACCGGCCTCTCACCACGACGATCGTTATATCGTGTATAGTAGTACATACAACACAGGCAGACGGATACTACCGAAGCCGCCGCCGCCGCCACCGCCATCCGCCATCGTTACGCGCGTGCCATTACTCCTTTTTCGTATAGATCAACAGAAACGGCGTTGAACCGAGCAGTTCCGCGATTACTACTCGCCGGTGCCGCCGTGTCTTGCTGCTACTGCCGATGCTCGATGCCACTGGCACTTCCTCGTCGCTTCAACTAGACTGAATTAGCTGCTGCTGCTGCTGTGTAACTTTTTTGAATCGCCCTCGACGACAGTCCCTCCCCCCTTGACGTTCCGAGGGAATCGGCTGTAATTGTGCGACTGTCGTGTCATGAGCGAGTAGAGCCAAAAATGTGAGTGCCAAATTGTTGCTACCAATTGTTAACCGATACATAACAGTGATGTCGACGAGTGTATTATTTTCTCTAGTCTTTTGTATTAGTGATTGATTTGCTCGTGTGCTCAAGTTTTTTTGGTGATTTTCATGGTGCTTTTGTCGCAATCGTTGCGATTGCATTGCCGATTTATCAGTTGATTCGGCTGTTTTATTCTGCGACGAATCGTTCGAGTAGCTTTCATAGCTCACGTCTCCACGAGAAATGAGGATTTTTTTGAACATCAGGGTAAAATCTATGTATGAAAACTAGTTTCAGTGTTAAGGTCTTATGCAAGTCTCTTGGCTAAGCATCACGTGCCCAAAGTTGTTCGAGACCCCCCGTAGACCGGAAATTTTGACTCAAATGAGACACTTGCGTTTAAATTTATTCGAGCCTTTTTTATGTTATAATACCTTCTTTCATGGAACGATTTTCCATCGTTAGATTAATTTTATGCTATTTCAACGAGCCTCAAATTGATACGTATCAGAAAATTATTAGTAAGAAAGAAAAGATAAATATTGAAAGAAATACCGATTGGAATAAATCGATAGAAAATTTCTATTCTCGGTACAATTATTATTTGTAAATAATGCTGCATTGCGAAATTCAATGCCAAGTTTACTCACACCGCGAGCCCTATTGACAAATCTCGTCACGTCTCGGGTGAATGCCTACGGACTTTCAAAACTAAGTCGACAGTCATCTCTTTCGTTTACAACACACACCGGCCGCAACTACCAAAAAATTAAGAAAAAAAAAAAAAAGAACGCGTGTGCATATTAATCGCAAAACACGATCAATTCGAGTCTCGTCGTTGGCTATTTTCGGTCACCACCAACGAGTTCTCGCACGCGTTCAATAACGTTTCGCAATGATAACTTTTAAAGTCCCACACAATGTCACCCAAAAATTTCGTCGAGTTGAGGCAAAAATCAGCGATATCGCGCTCTTATACGCGTAACTTTTTTTTTATAATTTTTCTTACGGAAAAATCAACTTTCAAGTCACATTCATCTGTACACTTGTCTCGCTTTCTCCGCGTTCTAAACTCGGCTGTAGCATAAACTCGAGCTTGGCTCCGATTATACCGGCTAACAAGACGCCCGCGTTCTATTGGCTCTGACCATAATTCCTTACTTGTAAAGAGTTGATCTAACCTCAATTTCCATTCAAACTTGAACGATACATAACGAGAAAATCATTGCGTTTCCGAGTGCGCTAACAAGATTTTGCTTTAAATTGACATAGAAAAATTGAGCTTAGCCTTAAACGCGCACGTTTCATCGGGTTTTCGCTAAAAACGTGGTAACTAAAATTTGTACGAAATTCTTGCCCCTAACGCAAGTGATTCTTTGCAAAACTATTAGAAATCTCTTGATTTTGTGGAAAAATATTACATTATAGTTTTATATCATACTTTATGACTTGAAATTCTGCTTTCTTTCTCATTCAAGTGGATAATTGACTAAGCCAAAGCAATAGGTGCACACGCGCTGAATTTTCCATAATAAATGATTAAAAACCTGATGATAACAATCTTTATATACAAACGTAACATAATGAATCGCTGGGGGGTTTAATAACTCAGACGCAGCAGTCAAATTATATGCAAAAGAAAGTGGCCTAAGCTAAATCGAAAGCATAACGAGACTTCGCACGAGTCTACGACCTGCGTGCACAACTGCTGCGAAGTTCGAGGTCATTGAAATTCAAAAGTAAAAATCTTTCATTTGGTTATAACATGAGAAATCCGAGATACTAAGTATTTCCATTTGATGATTTTTCATTTTAAACGTGACGTTTGAGTTTACTTTAACTATACCGACTGATTAAATACTGGACTCTAAACGCGCACATATAGTGGCACATCTGTTAATGACCCCGACCTAGTTTTCTTGCTGAAGTTTTCTCAGCCTTTGCGGTTACTATTGTCAAATGACTGACTGTTTTAAAATCTGATTAAACGTGCGAAAAAAAATAACTTGAAGCGCAACTTCTTGATTATTTTTTAATGTAAAAGATGGAGTTCTAAGAAAACACTTGGAAAAGCTGTCAGAGCAATAGTTTTACTCGAACGCGTAAATTGTATATAATTTTTTTAAAGATGACAAACAAAAATAATAAAAAATACCTAACAATCATGATGACATTTGGTTTGAATATGATATAATACCAAAAAATGTATCGTAAATTTATTACAAAAAAGATTTTAGTTATTAATTTCTCGTAACTGCAAGAACTAACGATAATTTTTATTTTCTCATAGTCCCTGCTTTTCGGTTTAAACCAAAGCTAATAATAGTGGTCATGTAATCGAGTGCCATTTTTCCATTTCATTTAATTCATATATATTTTTTAGAACCGCTTGATTAATAAGGCTTCACCCATAATATTGCCGTTGTTATTATATGATTCAAGTTACATATGAGTGCGTTATCGTAAGAGAAAGCTCAATTTTAACGTACAGCATATCCAGTTTGGTGGAAAGTTACCAATATAATGCGTATTTTATCGATGTTAATTACATAGTCTACGGTTTAGAGGGGAAATTATGATTTTGCAAAAGTGACGAACGATTAAAATTTCGTACTGTATGTATTTTCAAGTGCTTTACTTTTTAGAAAAATGTAGTGGTACCGGAAATTTGATTAATGCAATGGCCATTTCAATTTTATCATGGAAATACGTCCCATTTAACCACAATTAAATGTAGCTAATACAATTTAATTTATTCAATATTTAAAACGAATGTAACAGTGTCATCTGAAAATAAACTTTAGAAAATTTTCTATTAAATAACTCATGCATCTAAATTTTCTCCCTATTCATAAGCGTGACTATAATTGATTATTTATTGGCTTGATACGTTTATACATTGTATAGATACTTTACTATTATCGCTATTATTATGAATTCATACTCATGAAAAAATGCGATATCATAATTCAGCTTCGCTAAAATTGGTAATCATTTTTATGTCAACATGTTTGAATTAATTATTTATAATAAATTAATTTAAATTCTGTAAAACATTACGTATCCAGTTTTTATGAAACTTTTTGACATTGTGAAATATAACATATAAATGTGTAATTAATATTTAACTTCAAATAACTTATTAGATGTGTAAACTGACACATTTGTGATCATAACTTTAATATTTGTTCAATAAAGAATGAACGAATAACAAGTTCTTGAAGTTTTATTTACTTATGACGACATTGTGATTTAAAAAACGCTCAGAGTAGATTATATAGGAGCACTCTTCAATTGAGATAATAAAAGAAAAACCAAATCGAAAAGAAAATTTATAAATAGCTTAATGAAACGCAAGCTTTCAAAAGTGCAACAGAAAACAATAGAATGTTATCAAATTTAGAGGTTTTATTTGATTTTTACCGAATAAAAATAAACCAAATAAATTTATGAAGAAGTAAAATGATATAATATTACATAAACTACAAAACATTCATCAATAACACATAGCAAGATTAATATAATACACATAAAAGCTTGTTGCAATGCCAGAATACTTTCTCTGCGAGAAAGTCAAAATAAGAATATGAAAAATACTGAAAATAAATTAGCTTGGTAATGTAAGACTGCAAATGAATAGCTCCTTGATATACCATATGTATATATGCATTGAAGAAAACTACTCAAAGCTATATCAACTTTCGCGTTGCATGCTTGGGTGTGCTATGCTCATTTTTCTCATTTAACAGATTAAATACTTTATGTCATGCGTTGGTCATTGTAAAAATCTCGTTATAAAATCTTTTCTCAAAAATCGTAATTATAGCGCTTCAAAAGTATGATTTACAACGTTGACCGATCCTTACGAATGTTTCTCTCGTTTGATGTACTTTGTACGAAACCATTAAAACTGTGCAAATTGGTGTTACAAAGCATCCGATATAACAGTGTTTCAGCAGTCCTTACGTGTTACAGGAAAAAAAACTAGTTTCAAGGTTAAGCATATTGACGTTTGAATTTAATTAAATAATTACCCGAATCGTTATAATTCATGGAGTGCAAACATGCATGAAAAAGTCGAGTGGAGCTGCACGAGAGCCTGGGGGAAGGACGCCGAATCTGGGTCAAAATGACTTTCTGACACTCTCCCTTTCGAAATAATAATTATTTAATACCACAATGATGACCGAGGGAAATGCATTACAACTAACCGGTAGTCTGGCGCCTTCGCTCTTTTCCCTTTCTTCCGTCGTTCCGTCGTCGCCCATCTCTCTTCATCTTTCTCTTTTAAAAAGGTTATTTTACATTTTCATTTCTTCACTTTTATCGTTTACATGTAATTGAAAGTTTTATTTTAACGTGCAAGCGCTTACTTTTATATCTGCGTGCTCAATATTTTTTTATCTTCAGCCATATAAAATTCAATTTTGTTATTCTGATTGCACCATGATATATTTAATAAATAATATAATGTAATTAAAACATCTGTCTTTTACAATTTCATTAATATCAAACGTTAAAACAACAAGCTCAATTTTTTTAGATTCAAATTATTATTAAAAGATTTGAAATAAAAATCATAAAAAAATACTTCGAAAGATGTAGAATTGATGGATGAAAGTGTCCGTGAAAAACTGATACTCGTGGTAATTTTTTTTTAAAACGCCATGAACTTCGCGATGATGAATACACTACCGTAATTACATTGTAACGCTCAAAATGTTGAAAACATTCCATGACATAATAGCGCAGGTTCACTTTTTCTGCGATGGCCTCGCTACCACCACGTAAATGTGCTCAATGTTGTAGGTGACATAATATCTGCATTCGGCAGAGCAATCGATTACACAATTGCCCCCATGTGCACACACCTCGTGTGTTATGTATCTCCAAGAAGAGTCTCTGGAACATTCCACCATTATACTTTAACCTAATTTTTGAACAAGCAATAATAAAATAGAGAGATTTACTATTTGCAATCCTTGTTTCTGCAGTCAAACAAGCCTATGGCACTAATAGCAATGGCTAGTGTTCTTTTCTCATGATCAGCTGCCTATATGGAGAGCGGCGCACTATATATTGAAGTGATTAGGAAGTAATGAGTTAGCTCTCGTTAGGCTTTGCCTTTTTATTGGTAACTTTTGTAAGTACGGTATGTTATACTGAGAAAGTTGCCGGATAATGAGACGTAAAAGTTACGTCAGATTTGCCCAAAGCTGTAATTAGAATAAAAAACCATCGTGTGTACATATAGTACCTATCTGAATAGCAATTTTCGCATAAACCAACTTTCTCATTAGATTGATCTCGTGCATTTTTTTCATTATTTTTTTATTGAGCCATAGCTCGACTTGCCCAAATTGAGATCTTTGATTTCATCAAAAATACCGCTGCCAATAAGTGATTAAAAACTTCGGTCTCTGACGGATGTATGCATACATCTTAAAGACTTCATTTTGGCATCTTCTTCATCGAATATGAATAATTCAACCCACGATTTTTGATGCTTGAACAAAAATGTTAACTTATTCTATTTATACGACGTAAGTTCTAGAAGAAAATAATCGAAAGAACACCATCGTCGCACGCGCTTTTTCCAGCAAAAATACACCTGTTGAGAGAATAATCAATTCGTATAATGTAATACCCACACAACATCGTAAAATTGTGAAATTGAAAACTGTGATTGGTACGAAGCTGAATCGATAAGGTGCTAAACTAGCAATTAGCTATTCATGTAAGCATTTCCAGGCAGTTTCATGACAAAATTTGTCAATTACTCAATGCACTCACGGCTCGTTTTCATCAAGCGGAGTCTTGTCTTCTTCATCGCGTGTAAATTTACAGTGTGTGCAAAAGCGTCCGACACGTTATTCCTACAAATAATTTCTTATCTCATGTTGCACCATGTAATTGGTAACATGAGGAATAAATCATTCGTCGAGTTTTCCAATATATCGAATTGGTGAATATACTGTAAAGAAAAAGAAAAAAATTACGCATGCAAACATTTGATCTGGTATAATTCTGCCATTTGTATAATGAGGCAGTGCACTTTTAACATGGAGAAAGTGAAGAGCTGCGTTATTGCAACGTATTCACCGGTCTTCGTTTTATTTTGTTTCGTTTCTTGAAAGTGCGCGACTCTTACATGAAACGAATGTAAAATCATATATTAAAATAACATGTACGATCACAGACAGAAGAAAGAATAACATAAATGGGATGACAAATGTGTCGAGCGTAACTGAAAAAAAGTTAGACAGAAAAAGTCATCCAAAAATCTCAATGAGTTGAACAGATTATCGAATAACGTTGAGGAAAAAAATTCATCACGTGCGCAATTGTCATTTTTTGCTTTACTGATCCAAAATACTACGCTAAAGTGAAAAAAAACACAGAGCAAGGACATCTGCTCATCAAAATGCGTTGACGTAGACAGGCTTTTTCAAAAATACTGGGTAAAACTATGAGATCACACTGAGACGAAACCAAGGATTTTTTAAAATTTTTATTTATAATTTATTAGTACATCATTTATTCGTATTGAATTGAAAAATTGAAGACGCACTTTAGAATAAATTATAAGCGATTTCGATAACGAAAACCAGGAGTTTTATTTACGAGCGCAAAATTCCTCAAAAGGATCAAGTATTTATTTAGTACATTTTAGATCTCTTGTCGAATCCTCTCGAATACTGTCGAATGAGTATGAATATATAAAAATTAAATAATTGATCATATCTTTGCGGAGCAAAATTTGCTAAGATTTGCATTATGACAAAGGATCATACCAATTGATAGTATCCAATTTTTTACTAATAAAAACCTTTTCGCTATTGTCAGTTGCTTATATTACTGTACGAACCGATTTTCAAAAATTATTTTCTTCGCATTATTCAACAGTACGCATTAAAATCAAATATTAGTTATTTAATAATGAAAATATCCTGCTCCAGGGGTTGTACATTTCAACTTTTACCCGACAGCCGTTGAGAGAAATACATAATTTTACATTATATAGTAGTATCTTTTAAGCGTATAAGCGACAAGCTACGCAAGGAAAGTGAAACCACCGGTGCACACTTTACTTCGTATATCATGATTTGCATCGTAGTTTTCCGTGCATAACACACGCCGCGATCTATCGACGCCGGAATTCTAGTGCATGACTTCCTCATTTCCCATTGTACTCCCATTGGACAATAACCTTGGCTGATCATACATGCGCTTTTACGGCGCTGATTTTCAAAGCCTAAAAATTTTAAATTATACTTTATGCTGTATGTTACTGTTCGACATTTAGATCTGGAGTATTACATAATTAAGACGCGATTTACATCTTAAACTCATTGTACTAGTATTAGAAAAGTATAAAACGCAAAGAGTGAAAATCACATAGAGTTGTCGATCGAAAAAAAATTTTTTCGTCCAACTGATAGAAAATATACAATTGATTATGCTATTCGTGTAAAATATTGAGCAGAATTTTATTTCAAGTGGTACGTTGTAATTAATTTCGGTAAGCATCAAGCTCGAACCAGGAAAAAAAGAAAGTGACGGTCAAAATAATCAGATGTCGCTTTGTATATGCATACATATTTCGTACAATCATAAAAGCGAAATGGTAAAATTTTTTTAATATCATAAAGAAAGTTTACATTTGAAAAAACAAACAATAACAAACGTATTATTATGTAACAGAATTTCATTCATCCAGTTGAAATAACTCGCGCTACATAAAAGTGGTTAAGAGCGTACGCAAAAATCCAAAAATAAGTGGAAAATGATTAATTTTCCATTACAAATTCAATCGGAAATGAATTACGAAGGAAAAGTGTGTCAGATTCGCGATTATTACTTCTTGGGTTGTACCAATCGCTTCATAAGAGGATATTGCCAGATGGCATATCTCAAGCTGACTTTCATGTATCTATTTTTGTGTGAATTTAGTTTAATTTGACAAAAAAATTGAGAGAAAAAATGTATGAGCCAACATAAAATATCATGCTAATGAACGCTTAGCTTCCTCCAAGAGGAAGCTCTGTGATTTTTATTCGAGTTGGACAAAAGACGAGCTAAATAAAATAAATCCAAAAGCAAAAAAATTGCCAATAAAGAAAAACCTAATCGACAATCAGTGGGTCACAGATAAATAAGATGCTTAAAAATCTTTTGAATATGTATATTATACAATATATTTCAGCCTCGCGTGGCATACACATTCTATAGAAACACCTATAGGACCCCGCTCTTGCTCCGGGGCTCTCTGCTCGAGCTACTCACAAAATCAACCGAAAAGTCACGGGCACTCGCATTCGCTTTTGGGCATTCACGCGAGAGTGACCTGATTATTTGATCAAGATTCAAGTGCGTGAAATTCATACACACAGCCAGTGAGAAAAAAGAAATGCAACGCGTATCTTTGATAGAGCTTGGTGAATCTCTTTGCTGACTTGAAAGTGTATTTGTTTGAATAAAAAGTGTTAATAGCATTAGCGAGTTTTATGTAATAAATGTTTATTGTGACAAAAAAAACGACTGTTAATGTTTATGTGTCGCTTTCATTGAAAATATAACAGCATATATCAAGAACTTTCATATTTCCTTTTTAATTTATAAAAAATTTGATGATCATAGGTGAGAAAATTTAAAAATATTCCGCTCTTATTTCGCTTATTTAAAAATTTTGTCGAGTTCATTTTATTTCGCAATGATTTTCTTGCGGTAGATAGAATAAATTAATCTAGAAGTCAAAAACCACTCTTATAATATTCTTCAATGACTTCACTCAAAGGATTAGTCTGAAATTATGTTGTTTTTATGAATTATTTATTAGATATATCTATCTTTTTAACAGGATGAGGAGGAGAGGTGCAAGACAACAAGGAAACTCCGTAAACGAAGGAGCTATACTTTTGCTCTTCGTCTCATTAACTCCAATTATATGTTCAGCTGGAATTTTAGATCCGTGGCAATGGGCCCGAAGCGACAGAATAGAAGTCAACATCCCCTGGTTACCATGTAAGTAAAAGTTTAATGTCTTGATAATATTATAAAAAATATGATTTTTAAACCTCTGTACCTATTAGTCTTCAAATAACACAAATTGTTCGTGCATTGTATCATTCAAACCTGATAGATATTTATTTTAAGTTATTAAATATTATCCGCGAAACTCTTTAGGATTGGTCTAAGCATAATGAACAACTCAAACATTTCCAAAAAAAAAAAATTAAGATCAATACCGTGATGGTAGAAACAGTAAAAAGTCTCTTAACACATACAACTGACACGAGTAAATAGTACATCATTTTTTTTAAATGTACTCAAAACTCACAGATTGATGAGCATGCATTGATTTTTTTGTAAACAGAAAACCAGTAATGAAAAGAAATATCATGATTTAAAATATTCCGAGGACTTTATGAAATATTTCTTAATATATAAATATAATTAATTAAAAATCGATTGCGATTTACACCAACTCATTCAATGAAAAATAAAATCAGTGATTAAAAATGCAAAGTAATGTTTTGATATATTTTCAAAATCACAATTTAAAAATCAATTCATATAAAATTGAACATTAAAAAACAAAGTTTTCCTTGAATATTTGAAAAATTTAAATGATTAAATTATAAAAAATTTCAAAAAAGAGTTTCTTTAATTCTATCGAACCTCACATATAATGTTGAATATTCTACTAAAAGTTATATCAACCAAAAAATTTATTTATATTAATTTACTGATTAAGAAGGTATTTCACCTGTATTATTTATGATTGGTGCAACAGAAAGAAATTATTTGCAAACATCATTATTGATTTGTGAGCATCTTGAGATGTGACCTCAAGCAATGGTTAGTGGGCACACATCATTTATTTTTCGTTGAACTCGTAAATTACACTATTTTTTAAAAGCTATTACTTCATGAAAAAGAATGTCGCCATTCCCCTGTAATCGACTTGTTAAAAATTGTAAACATTTAATTTAAACAATTAAAAACTTGTAAAACTACAATTAAAAAATAATAGGATATGCTACAATACATGTCAATGATATACACCATAGTTGGATTGTTTATTGCATATGCATGAGTACTTTGTAGACCGATTCATTTGTTTGCATGGATCATTATATTGTTAGCCATTTATTGTGCATACACGTATGTACGTAAATAAAATTCAACACTCATTTTCTTTATTGAAAAAATGTCAACTTGTGTATTATTTTTCACAAAAAATTACAGTCGAAAACGAGACACGCTGTTATGACGATCTTGGATGTTTAAATATTACCAGAAGTTGGTATCATCTAATTCATCGACCGCTAAATGTTTTCCCTTTACCTCGAGAAGTCATCAATACAAGATTCATACTTTATACAAATGAAAATCCTACCGAAGTAAGTTCTACAAATATCTGACAGATGGTTATGTAGAATTTCTTAAAAAGAATGTTAACATTTAGCTATCACATTCCATTTCAACGAAAAAATAACTATTTATCAAGTTTTTTGTTTAAATTTTTTACGAAAAAAACTTTATGATTGAAATAAAAACAATGGTTAAATTTCCGGAAAAAGGATGTATTTATATAAATATCAATTACTCGATTATCTAAACCAATAATTTGCTTTTTGAACAGGGCCAAGTATTAATTGTAGGCAAAGATAAGTCTATCAAACGATCAAACTTTAACTCAAAGAAAAAGACCAAGTTTATTATACATGGTTTTATAGATACTCCTCTAAGTAATTGGGTTAAGGTAAGAATATAATTTTTAATTTTATTCGAATATAAATAGTCTTTACAACTCATTATATAATTATTAAATATTCTAGGAAATGCGAAATGAACTGCTCAAACATGGAGATTACAACGTTATTATAGTCGATTGGGCAGGTGGTAGTTTACCACTGTATACACAAGCTACAGCAAATACGAGACTTGTTGGACTTGAAATAGCACACCTCGTCAAACATTTACAGGTACGACGACGACTTTGGTAGTAATTGCAAATAATAAAATGCTTTAATATATATAATTTTTAGAAAAATTATGGACTAGATCCAGGTGATGTCCACCTGATAGGGCACAGTTTGGGAGCCCACACAGCGGGCTACGCTGGCGAAAAATTAAATGGAAAAATTGGTCGTATAACAGGGCTAGATCCTGCCGAACCTTATTTTCAAGGCATGCCTAGCCATCTCAGATTGGACTATACTGATGCTCAATTGGTCGATGTCATACACACGGACGGCAAAAATATTTTCTTCCTTGGTAAAAAGCAATGATATATCTTTTTCGTACACAATTTTTTTAGATAATAATGTGGGAAAATGAGTTGAGAGAAAAAAGAATTAAATGTAGAATTTACAAGTGAATTGTATTTAGAATAATGTAACGTAGCTTATAATCTACGATTATATAGGAACAATTCGATTTGTATAACTGAAATATGGTGACAAGCGTCAGGAAGGCAGGAGCCAAGCCGGTCGCACTATTTTTTTCTCGCATTCGATTGTTGTTATAATGAATGTGGCAGTCTAGCATTTGTTACGTTTCGCGAAAAAGCTCATGTCCACAGTTGCGATAATAATTATGTGCCTCGGAAAAACAAAATTTTAACAAAAAATAATTTTTATCGTAACATATAAGGATGCATCAGAAACATTTATTTTTAGAAGAATAACAATTAAATTACCTTTATCTTTGCAGGTCTACCTGGCTACGGTATGAGCCAACCTTGCGGTCATTTAGATTTTTACCCCAACAACGGCAAAGAACAACCTGGATGTACCGACTTGAGCGAAACCACACCGTCATTACCTTTAACTCTCATTCGGGAAGGATTAGAGGAGGCCTCGCGAGTTCTCGTGGCGTGTAATCATGTACGCGCAATTAAACTTTTCACCGAAAGTATTAACAGCAAGTGCCAATACGTGGCGCACGAGTGTGGAAGCTACGCAAGCTTCCTCCGAGGCGAGTGCTTCTCTTGCAAAAGCAACAATAGTCTCAGCTGCGGAATTATGGGTTACCACGCGGATAATAGTCCCGCCTTGGTACGGAGAACTCAATTGGGTCAAGACATCAATGATCTATTAGGCTCCAAGTTCTTTTTTTCAACCGGCAAAGACGATCCTTATTGCAGTAAGTGTTTATTATGTTTTCAATTTAATTTAATTCTGATAACGTTTGATTTTTGTAATGCATAAAGCATCATTTTAATTATAACTTTATTCATAGTCACCTCGTAATTTTCTCATTTTTCTAATTTGAAAATAATGACAATTTTGTTTTTGCTAACGAAAAGAATTTGAGCTGATTCAAAAACTTTGATGTCTATTTATAGGGCGGCATTATAGGATAACAGTTAATTTGGCAAGACCTCCAACTGCTGAAAGTTGGGTTCAAGGATACATGAAAGTTACACTTCACGCTGACAACGGAGTAATAAGAAACATGGATTTAACTCCCAAGTATGTAATATGAATTAATATGTTTAAGCTTGACAAATTTTTTATTGTATAAATAATTTATTCGATTATAATTTGATAATAATTTAATTACAGCAATTACATGAAACTTGAACACGGTACAACAATGAAAATGGTGGTAGCTCATCCGGGAGGATCCACGGGGGAACTTGGAAAAATAAAAAAAGTTGATTTATCATGGACTTATGACATGGACGTTCTGCAACCACGTTCTTTGTGTTTTTTCTGGTGCAATGATAGATTGTATGTGCACAGCGTCGTCGTTGATGTGATGGAACTGGCTGGAAGAGGGTATAGTAGCAGACATATAATTATTGATTTAATGTCGAAAATCAATTGCTATTGCTAAAGACATTTCGTGCTGCATTTTGTTACAGAAAACGGGAGGCAGATTTGACTAGCAAACTTTGTTCAACAAGCAGACAAGAATATGTAGAAATAGATAGTGGATCACAAGCTTCCTTCACAGATAATTGTTGACACTATTAAAGGCAGGATATAATCTAAAATAACTTCCTACAAACATTTTAATACTGCCAAAAAGTTAAAACGCATCAGTATAAATATATTAAGATATCATCACCTTTTTTACTTGTTGACAAAAAAAATTAAGATATAAGGAGATGTATCTTGAATTTTCAATTATCATGTGATCGTAATCATTTATTTTATTTATAAATAATGTAAATAACTTGATTGTATTATATTTTAGCATATAACTGCTTCATAAAATCAATAACATAAAATTTTAGAGTTTTATACTGCTATTAGAATATAAAAAATTTTGGCCCAAAATTCGTGTTGTAGAGGGCTCTATTTAATTTTTCATGGGCTTTGGACAGAAATAAGTTTTAGGAATATGACGAATAATCTGTGCAACTATTCTAATAGATGTACACTGAAATAAATATTGAATAAGATGATTTTTACTGCACAATGACTTTTAAAAAAGTAGATACCAGGGCAATAAAATTATAATATACTGAATAAAGGAACGAAATTGACATAAGCTACATGAAATACAACACATTTTCTCGTATTAAATATTAAGTATAATTAACTAATTACCCTTTTAATGTTTTATGACAAACAAATTTACATCGCCCAGTGATTCTAAATTGAAAGCTGACAACATACTGCTGTATATAATGTTTAAAATAGGACTTTCGTGCATTTAAAATAATACATATATAATTTCAGATTATAAAAGATCGTAATTATATGAAAAAATTATAAATGTATGTAACATGTTAAAATTTATCTGAAATTCCACTCTACTCTTTAAGAGATAGGTAGATCAGTAAAATCAAAAATAAACTGTTAAAGTGTAAACGAGTGCAAAAATAATATTTACTAAGTGGCTGGTTTTAGTATATACTGTAACATTCTTTTTAAATTTATTTACTTGTAAAAAAAAACTATTAGGATTCGGTCATTGTAAACTGTCCAGATATCTAACTATAAAAATCTTTTAGTTTCAGTTTATAAATAATTCAAAGAAGATATAGAAGAAACTTTAAAAAACCTGTAAAGATGTTATTAAGTATTTTACTGTATAAAAATGTATATTGATGATATTTTCTGATAAGAATATTTTCTTGTATGATCAAAGCATCTAAATTTGTGATAATTTCCTTAATTATAATATTTGAGCGTATCAATTTTTATAGATTGTAGTAAAATTTTGTACAAATAATATAAATAATTTTTTTAAAAACTGGGTAACTTTTTTCTATCTGGAAAATCCATTAAACCTTTTACACATTGCAGCTTCACTGGGGGCCTCATTTATAACGCGTTTCAATTCTACCAATATCATCTTCCCCTTGGGCCTAATGGATCAGATTTCCTCTCGGAAAAATTAAACGGTAGAACGTACGTTAATTTATAAATTATAAAGTAAATTCAAAAAGTAAAACAATAATTTATCAGGTTACCAATTACCCTTATTTTTAGTTTTCACATAACTTCTTTTAACTTGTAGCAATAGCTTAAAACCGCGATTTAATGATACACCATATCTTAAGATAATGCTTCGTTATGCCTCAAACAAAAATCTCAAATAATTTAATAATTGTAGTTTAAAAATTACGAAGAAATAAATAAAAAAACGGGCAGTACTTTTTTATCATTCAAAGTTATACGATTTATTTGAAATATTATATTGAAAAATAAATAAATGATTTTAATGTCCAACGATTGAGAGCTAGCTTAAACAGCTTTACATTTTTGACAACAATCAGGATAAGGTATGCTGAGACCAATTTAACTTTTTTTAAATTTCCTTCATAACGAACAATACCACATCTGTAAAAAAATCATAATTAATTAAACGATCTGATGAATTGGTCGAGTGCAAATGATACTGTCTTAAAATCTAAATTCCCAAATAAGGAATAATGTAAATTCTATCAATTATATTTTGTTAAATAACTTCTTATTGATGAAATTTTGTTACTTCGACTCAAAACTGTTGTAAATAACAAAACTGAAGTCCAATTCCTGCGCAAGATGCTTATATATACTCCTATTCCCGTTTTTAACTTTTTTTATGATAAACGTATAATCTTTATTTATTTTGTAACTGAAATGATTTTTACATAATACAAAATATTTATAAAACGTGTTTCATTAAACTGGTTTTTAATATATTGATGATTCTTACCACGATAGCTAGATTTATAAGGAAACTCAACTAAAGATATAAGTGAAAAACCGCTGCCAATTTATTGGCAAAGATCTTCCTCATGAAAAATGATATTAATGAAAGGGTTTGGTTATTAAAGGATATTCGTATTTCATTTTTGAATTTTAAAATCCATTTTCATTTTTGTACACAAAACTCCAAAAAAACTTGGAGATTTCTAGAATTTTGTAAAAGATTCCCTAGGCTGCACTTCCCATGCCTGATTTTCCTACGACGTCTGGTTCCAAATCTCATTATCACATAACTTCCTCTATGAGGATGCAAAATATAAATAAATAAAAAATGTACCGATAAACTGTTTTAAATCGATTACATTGTTTACATATTACACTTATGCGCTGTCTACTTAAGTTTCAAGCTTTTCAAAAATTTGGATAAGAATTGGTCAAATGTTCTTCTACAGATTATACAATCCGTAAGATAATGGTTTTTGTTATTGTAAAAAAAATGATGTAATAATTCATAAATATTTTACTCTAAAATACTAAAGAGTCATTGTCAACCATAAAAGTTTTCCTCGAGTATAAAAGTAACCCTTGCAATAAATTTAGCTTCTTAATTCTATTTTTATTCCTTAAAACTGAAAATATCTTCCTTGCCAGTAAACAATTTATTTATTGGGCAAAGAAATTGATTCTCTTTCATTCGCTTGAGTATTTGAACTGAAGCTTATTTTTATAAGAATAATGAAAAGAATTTCCGGTAAAATTAGTTTTCGCAGCACTAGAGTTACATTCGGGCTGTTATACACCCCATATAGTCATTGCTAACAACCGTTTGACACGAACAGGAGCCATTGCCGAGAACGATCCTCACAGCGAAGTTTAAATTGAATCCCTATAATCTCAAGTGTTTGATCGTTTAGTTTAAGTCGAGGTATGTATTTTGCTATCGTTCGAAGTATACTTATATAGAACAAAATTTAATCTTAACTCCATTTATCTAAAAAAAGAAGTCGAAAGATCAGATATTGTTTCCATTGCTGGAAATATCGAGATTGAAATGTATAACATGAAAAGTATTCGGGTAAATAACAAAGAGCATTTGAAACTGATGAAAGTAGGGAAAATGGAATGATTGCGTGCGGCAAATGTTTGTGAAAACCATTAAAACGACGTCATTAAAAAGTTAAACATGAACTTTTTTTAGCATTCTTACATGTTATTTATGCGTCATTATTTTTTCAGTAAATTCTTCTTTCTCTCTGTTAATAGTCAACAGAAAATTATATCGTGACACTTTTACAGTTCGTTCCTTCTGACACCATAACGAATGTTGCTGCATACAAATCAAAATTTTTATGATCTTTTCTGAACCATATATTTATTAAAACATTATACAGTATAAGAAGCATGAACATAAAATGATTTTCACTAACAAATTCATGTTTTTTTTTGTTACCTGAAGTAATACATGTAATATCACAAACAAATTGGTGCTTGCAACATTTTTTCAATCAAAAGTATCGATTACAAGTGATTCTCGAGAATTAAACTTTGTCTTTTCGCTCGATATCAAATTGGGCATGAAAATATGCAATTGTTTTTTCTTCAGTGGCAACCAATACGTATTCGACGATTCAATATCTTCACTGTAATACTCACGAGTCTCTGGTTGTCTATTTCTCACAGTTGCTATTATAGCAGGCTCAAAACTAGTCTCAACTTTTTCCTGCTCTGAAATTTGATCGTGTATTATGGTATTTTTATGGCACGGTAACTTGTTGGAGTAACATGTGTTACAAGTTTCTTGCACCATCGAATCTTGAACAGGATTACACGAACTCAATATCTTCTGATTCAGATTATTTCCAGAAACTATTCCTTTTGAAGAAACTGATTTTCCATTTTGAATAAAACTGAACTCCATATCGCTTTGATCAAGTTTCAATTTTATCACCATCCCTGAGTGGTCCAACCAATGCAAGACTTGATCTGACAATGATTTCAAATGATCTACGCTAGAGTCGTTAATTTTTTCGCACTTATCATCAAGTATTTCATCTTCGTTATTCACAGATGAATCATTAGCCAAGGGAAAACGTTCCTTTTTGAGCTTTTCTACGCGTAACAAATCATCGCGAAAAAAATGTTCACCTTTTGAATGGTAATTGGTATCAAGATCGCATCGGAAAACTGGAGCCGACCGATGCCGAACAATACCTCGATCACACGCTGGCAATTTGGCATTGTCCGAGGCTGGATTCAGCTTGACGATGCACGCATTGAGCTCACAATTTGTTTCCGGCACTAACGACTTGTAAGACGAATATTTGAATACGTGAGATTTTTCCTTTATCATCGAGCTACTGTGAGGTCGTTGACACATATTCGCGGATCTGAGGTATGGATCATCTACGGACAAAATTGCGTGCCGGACACCATCGACCCAAACTGTTTTTACAAAAATTGGACCTTCCGATGATGACCACACAGAAGACATAGTGTTTTTTTGTTGCAAACTTCGTTCTTTTAAAACTCGAATACTCGATAAGAAAATACAAGTGTCAGTTGATATTTATTTTCAAAATTCTTGAGAAGAGGCGTTTTTAAGATTAAATGAGCGCGGAAGTAAAATCATTGAAGTTTGGAAAAATATGAATTATGCATCAACGAAAACTTTTTTTCGGTTTAACTACGAGAGAGACGTACTATTGTCATAGCGACAAAGTATAAAAAAGAATACGTGTATTGACTAGATACAAAAATCGTCGTAGGAGCAGCTCCGCTTGACTGGAAAGGCAATGAACGACTGCGGAACTGCACGCGCGCGTGAGCAAACTAAGAAACACGCGATCGCAAGAATACGGTTCAAAGAATTTCGCGACGTCTCTACTGAGACCACGGACATGCCTAATGTTATATCCGCTGGGGAAAAATTTAGCACCGAACAAAGAGAAAAAAAACATTCTTAGTTTTTAGCCACGCAGCAGTGACATAATAATGTCATGTAATAACGAACGGGGTAGTCTTTTGAAAATGCCCCATATTTCCGTTTCAAGGGAGAAATTATTTCATTCTTTATTGCAGTGCAATTCTATTCTACTGCATGTCAGGTGAATATTATAAGAAATTGAATTTCCGCTACTCTTTCATTTTCTCCACTAAATAATTGAATCCCACCATTCATTTTCTCTGCAGTATAATTTGAAGGAGCATAAAATCAACAAATAATTATTAAAAAAAATGTTCAATGCGACGAAAATCTTTCTACAGTTTGATTTGAAAGAAAATCTAGTTGAAATAACTTTTTAATTCGCAAATAAACCCCTTATCTCCATACTTCAAATTAATAAATGAAAGTGAAGATTATGATTAGTGGTAAATAAGTGGTGTGCAAAATTTTACAAAATAAGTATTGCATTTTATTCAAAGGTTGTCTAGTTTTTATTTAACAATAAAATTGCAACCGAGCAGTACTTACAATTTTTTGAACAATGTGCTACCATAATTTTTATTCTTATCACTTTTCTATTGCAAGTAATATATAGTTACCATTATTGAAAGTTAAGTAACAGCTAAATTATTGTTACTACACAAGTTTCGACATTACTTGACGGTTTAATGGTAACGCAAGTAAAATTTTTGACTATTATCATCTCAAAAAAAATAGACTTTGCACTATACTTACTATATGTGTTAGCTCCAAATAAGTTTGACTGAACCAATGATACTCTGAGGATACCAAGCAATAGATAAAATGTCCATATTAAAGTTTATCTATTCTTTGCAGTTGCGTTTATTAACGTTAGCCTTAGATGTTGATCTTTATTTCATATTTATTTTGAAAATTTTCCCATAATCTAATAGTTAGTTTTACTCGTCAAAGAGTTGGCTAGATACATTGTTTTCATTTATTAAAACCCCTCGGGGTACTAAAATGATCGTTTCTTTCTACTTATAAAAAATGTTAAATTTTAATGAATTCATTATAAAGCTCAACTCATTTGTAATATTATATTTTTGAAGTCACACAAACTGACAATATAGATTTAGTTTTTTAAATACGTGTCACTTTTAATATTAATCTACAAGCCCATCAGTATAAATATTATACATATTTTAGTATTTGTATTTAATACATTTATAAAACAAAAAATGGCTATTTGTTCTCGGTTTAAATATGTTGGTACTTACATAAAATTACAAAAATAAAGTATGTGATATTATTAATCAAATGAATGTCTTGAACATAATATATATAGAACATCTTTGGAACTTTTATGTCCTTCGTTACACTTTGATCACTTCAATTGTTAGTTTATTTTCAATATTATATACTCTGTTCTAACACAAATCAAGTATTATAAAATGTAGCGTTAAAGCGATAATAACTCTTGTTTTTTTTGTTGAATTTTTAATTATTAAGATACGTTTTGGGAGATATCTTTGTACAACAGCTATTAATTTATAAACAAGTACATGAATAAGTCTTCAGTAAAAGCGTTGAGAAATCAACTTTTTGTGTACTTTGCAGTATTCAAATCGTCCAAGCTTGATGCACTTATTGTATTGTTCTCACAAATGTTCCACATCTATTTACAAACGTTTGAACGACTTATTCGCCGATCGACTTTGAAATGATAAAATAAGTAATTTTTTTATTATTTGTCATTGCCAGGGCTGTTTATTTTAAAAATCGCTTAAAAAAGAAAATACATTCTTTGGAAAAATGACAAGGAAAGACGATTATTTCTAAGGTAATATGAAAATAATTATACAAAAACACATTAGTATGGCTTACTAATCTTGATTAGTATGATTATACATACTTTACATACATACATACAGATTCACAAATTGCATCAGTTTTTTAAATGTACAAAATTTTCCGCGATCGTCACCTTTCACCTTTCACAATATAACACATATTTGTTCGTTATTTTTCATTACCGGCATTGTACGTTACATGCGATTTAACAAATGTTTTTTCAGTAAAAAAACCACTTCCACATGCGCGTGGCGTAACAAAGGTGCTACGATATTTTAGCATTGTACATAATATCATAAATCTAATAATCTCTAGTATAAATGTTGCGTATAATCTTTATAATAAAAGAATTAATTTCATAATTAATGTAGGATGCTGATCAAGAAAAAACACAATCATTGTCGCATTCGACTTTATCGATTGAAAGTGAATTTTCCTTCAAAGCTGCGAAATTATATTCACCTAATACGAACTTTTTATAATCGTACACATAGTGAGAATGACTCGAATTCTATTAATCTAACTCACATTGGAGCTGACGGAAGAACGAACTTGCAAGTAATTGAACGCAATTCGTTACTTCAAAGTGCTTAAGGAGACGACTGAAACGCTGTTCAATTTTTATTAAATGCCAATGAAATGTATGACTATAATTTTCAATAAAATATATGAATATGAATATCGTATTGAGGAACTTTTGGTAAACCAGCATTAATAAGCATGAATCATTTTTAACATGGCGATTAAAATTTAATCAAAGTAAACTTGCTTAAGAATTTTGCATATCTTAATTCAATGATTGCTTCGTCAATATTTTCATTAAAAACAAATACTGTCTTATATCGGTTATAAAACCACGTTTAAAATGCCAAACGTATTTATACAGCAAATCGCTTTTGTCGTAAATACTTTGCTTTAATGCATCATCTTATTTACTATTCAGAACACACAATCATCGATAGCATTCATTGAATCTTATAAGCAATGATGCTATGAAAATGTTTAATGTGAACCAATCCGCCGTAATGGTATTTTAGAATGATATCGGTGCAAGCATTAATAAATTTTAAATGCACAGCGTATTTGCATATTATCATAATCTAAAGCGTCGTCTCCTTAAGCTGACCCAAAGGTCAGTGAAGATCTTCGACCCAAGCCGTTTCAAGCGTCTCGATCATTGTACGTACGAACGCCATTTCTCTTCTAGCATTTTCCAAAATAACGCGTGGATCATGTGATGTACAACGAAGTATATTTGGTGCCATTACCATTGCCAAGTTACTAGCATCCATTTTTGTGCGCGATACAACGTCGGGCCGAGCAAATATCTGTAAAAAGTTCAGTTTGTAAAGTAATTGTCCTGAATGAATGTAGAAAATAAATTCAAATAAAAAATACGTACTTGTAAAAAGTGAATCAGATGACATAGGACCTTTCGATTAAGTTCCGGTAATCTCTCTACAAGAGCAGCAACGTTTTTAGCTGAGGCTTCAGGGTCATCGTGCTTCATGGCCACGCATTCAGCATAAAATGAATCAGGTATAAGAGGCTCATAAAGTTCTCGTACCCAAAGTTTCAGCAAAGAAGCTGGAGCATGAGCATCTTGAGAAGCTGCAAGTATGGCACCGTCTTCAAATTTGTCAAGACGCGACTTGAGAACATTGACTTCATCGGCATCTGCAGATACTCGGAATATTCCCTCGGTCATCGTGCCACCCCTTATCAGTACTTGTCTTGTTAGTGTTGTTTGAATCCATGGTAGTTCTCGTTGCGGAAAACGATCTCGTTGTAGAGCCATGACTTCAGAAAGTGTGGCACCGAACATCGATGCTCGGAATATTTGTAACTAAAATAATAAAAAGTAATACAGTTATAAATGTTTCCAAAAATAATATGATAAAAGTAGAAAACCAACCCTAGCTTGATCGATATCCTCAACAGTTGCTTTTCTAGGTTGTCTCTTGCCATGAGCACCAATCCTCTGCAACCGTTTGCATGCAACGGTTGCATAATGACTAACTTGTACATGTATAGGCCACTTGGCAACTTCAGGAAATTGGAAATTAGGATCACGATGTCTATTCATGTAACCTTCAAGATAAGGTTCAAATGTGGCACTTGGTGATACGAAAGCCAAACAAATAGCCATGAGCTCCCAACCTCGACGTAAACTTTCCTTGCGCGGATTCTCCGTAGTCTGCCGGCAGATTTGTACGTAGAGCTCATCACGCAATGGTGCTTTCGAAAATACCATATTCACTATTTCCATGGCTACACCGTCTAATGTCATTCCTACATTAGCCTTGCGATCACCCATATAGACCTGACAAAATTAATTTCAAAACATTAATTTATTCTTATGGTACCAATTAGTATCAAGCGAGCGTATGAACGTACTTGCACGAGCCTAAATAAATTACAAGCTTCCCTTTTCAGTAGTTTTTCTCCCTCTACGATTGCAAGCATTGGTTGAGGTATTGGATCCTTACTCCAACTAAGTATGTCTCGAACGCTACATTTTTTTCTAAATAATAGCCTTAGACCTTTTGGACGTCCACAGTTGAGATTCAAATTATCTTGAGCATATTTTTCGATATCTCCGCCAGCAGTGTCATCTCTGCGACCTTCGTCGTAATCACCTCCAGCATCGATACAACTACTACCAATACCGCTGAGACTGAAACCTCCAGCTGCTCTGGCACTTGGTGCAGCTGGAAGTGAATGAGGGCGCATGGCAGCCGAAAGCACGCTTTCGCGAGCTTCGGCTTGTGATACGATGTTCGGTGGTGGTGGAGGTGTGGCATGTGGTCTCGTTAACGTATCAGCTGTATTGTAGTAAGTCGCGATGCCGGTGGTATCGTAATTTGCCAAATCTAGAATAAAAATTACGTGAAATTTCATGAATTGAAAGATCTCAAGTATTCAACATGAATTTTCTTTTCAAAGTTACTTCTTTATTACCTGCATAATGATCGTCAAGGTACTCTTGACTCGATGAATCTCCTTGATTACTAGCTGCTTCATCATCAGCAAATTGATCGTCTGAATCTTCGTCCACTCTTCCATGAGGATCGTCATCTCTGCCTCCTTCTTCATCCAAAGAATCATCACCCTCTTCTGCTAAGAGTGGATCGCCGAATTTATAGCAACCTACACATAAAATAGTTAGGAAAATCATTAATTTCAAAATGCTTTATATAATTTTTAATGTTGTTAATAAATACAGTGAAACTTCGTTAATTCTAAATTCTAAATGCAGGCTGTAATTTTGCATTATCGAGGTAAATTTATTTGATTTGATGACTCTAAATGCAAAATTTTATTTCAAATATTTTTAAGAATTTATAATAAATTAAGATATATCCTAAAAATATATAGTCTCATTAAAAAATATAACGAACCAGAAAGTTTAGCTTGCTGAAGTATATAATGCTGCAGTGGTAGTAAGTGATCTGCATCTACCATCAAGTTGCCATAAAATGGAGATGGAGGTGGACTAGGATGGACACCATTACGCTTTTTCTTGGATGGCTCTTCAATAGGCGGCGGTGGATCATCATTTTCATCGCCAGCATCCGCACTATTACTACCACTGCTGTCTGTAGCATTGCTACTGGCACTACTGCTTACGCTACTAAATCTTTGACGACCTTGATCCGGTAAAAGAAAACGTTCGTGCATTCCGTCGTCGTCTCGATCCTGTCTTCGCGACGAGGGCTGCTTTTGTTGTAGTTTTTGTTGAAGTTGTTGTTGCAGAAGCTGCTGCTGTGGTGACTTAGCTTGTTTTTGTTGATGTGGCTGCTGCTGCAACTGATGCGACTTTTGTTGCTGGACAAAACTATAACTACGAGCTAACGGTTGTGGTGGAGCTTGAAAAATAAAGAGTTCATATTAATTTCAAAGTTAATGGTAGTAAATCGCATATTGTAAGGTCATTGCCGTTAACTTACTATCTATCGAATTATTGCAAGTAACTGCTCTTCTAATTTCCTTATCTCTATCATTTCTTTCAGACACTACATCGAAACTCCTCTGTTTGGCAACATTACTCACAGCCAAACCTCTACCATCAGGACTTTTGCCATCGACACCCATTTTTACTTCGCTAGGCTGTCTTCGGCCTATGCTGCCAGTATTATCGACACTGGATTGCTTGGCACGGCCTGAACTATAAAATGCGGGATTGGATTTGTCGAGACTATTAACGCGATCTCGAGGATATCTACTGCTACCACCGCCTCCGCTGACATCGTGCATCGGACGAAACTTATCTGATGATCTGTAACCTGCCTCCTGCGATTGTCGAAATCCTGGATTCGGTGACTCTCGATAAGGAGATGTGCTGGACTCTTTGTGTTGTGGAGGGTACGGAGCACGGCCTGTAAATAAAGAGATCAAAACTAATTAACAAAGGATAAAAATTGTCATAAGTAGTGACGTATGAAGATGATAGATATTTTAATTTCCATAAAGTAATAAATAATGCAAAGTATAAACGTGTGAAATAAACTTTAGTGAACCAGTAATGATCAAACTCATAATGATCTCAGTGCTTCCCAACTAAACACCTAATATAAACATTTTTGTTTACCATTTCACAGTTCTTTCAATAACATTTAGAAATGCTCCAACAAAATTTTGTATAATAATTAAACAGCTTTTAATTTTATTGTTAAATCCGGATGTAATCCCATAGTTACAAACCAACACCGTAAATCTTATAAAAGTTATCATAAAAAGTGTAAATCATTAATTGCGTTAAAAAATAATATATTAATAATTGAATACAATTAAAGTGTATGCATAATAATGAAGTTGCAGTGATAAGATGAAGTGATCACTACATTTTCTAACACTTTGAAAAATTCGTAGTACTTGGTACCTTTGAGCGTAGCTTCTAAAATTGCACGAAATTCGGAGTTCCGGATGCCTGGTAATATTGAAAAAATTGTTTGTTATTATATGCTATAGAGTACAACAATATAACAACATCTCGAACGAAAAATACTTGACGCATTTATTATAATTTGCTTTTAACGTGAAAATAAAAGTTCGTTTTCTTGAACCATTAGCTAAGCAAATCTCGTCATAAACTCAGTGAAAGTTCGTTTATGAAACCTCATAATTATTTTAATTAATTTTTTTTTCAATAGTTAATAACGCACAAAACACATTAAAGAAGTAATGAAAATGAGACGAAACTTACTTCCATATTCACCATTCTTTTCTCTTTTCTCGAAGTCTAAATTAACGTCCCTCCTTTGGCAATTATTATCTTTTTGTAGGTCAATAAAATTTTTCTTCTTAAATAAAGGTGTGCTCGTGGACATGGATATTCCAGCGGGTGACGGCGGCTGTTCACCTGGTAGGAACTTCGGACTTTTCGCGGACTCGAGAGTACCGCCCTTAGGCTGCCTAGGAGCAGGTGGCGGCGGGGCTTGATTGGGTGATCGATGGTGCCTGTGCGCGGGAGAATCAACGTTGCCACCAGCGCCTGCACTGCCGTGGCGATAACTGCCCGATTCCAGGGAGGTGCGACTGTGCGAGACCGAGCTGTCCGAGGAGCGTCCCGAGTCCTGCGAGTGATTGTGATGCCTCCTCGCCGGCGGTGGCGGTTGAGGCGGTATCTGTGGCTGCTGTAAATGTGGCGGCGGTTGCTGACTCGTTTGTTGCTCGACGTGCCTGCTACTGCTGCCGGTGTGATGGTGTCGATTGTTATTTTGGTGATGGTGATGATGATGATGGTGATAACGCCGAGCAGAGGGCGACGGAGACGGCGGTGACGTTTGCGCTTCCGCCAAGGGACTGTGTGGCTTACAGGCACCCATGCTCTATTCAATAAATTCAGATTTTGTTATCAAAGCTCAGCTTACTTTTAATGAATATTTTGGGGAAAATACAACATATCTACTATTATCTAATCAAATGTTTTCACGAGGGGTGAAAGGAATGTAAAAAATAAAATCACATTGAGTATGGAATTAAATTATAAGATATGAACACAATCATTTAAACTGATATTCGGAGTAAGAATGTTTAAAGATTTGAATTATCTCAAAGTAAAATGAACTTAAATTTTGTTGCATCAAATTTGAGAAAAATAATGGTCAATGATAAAAAAACAAGGTTAAAAGTTAAGTAACAACAATAATGAACAGAATATTACTCAGAAAAAGAGTAATAAATATCAATAATTCGTGTACTCACAGCTTTTGACGTACTTAGTTTAAAGAAAATAAAGTATAAAAACTAAAATAAAAGAATTTACCAAAGGATAAGCATGGACAAGACTAGGATTTTCGCGGTGATGGTGATGATGATGATTAAATCGTCCTGAACGACCAACCGTAGGGGTTTGCGTCTGTGTTGAAACGGTCTCTTTTTTCTTGGGTTCGGAGCTTTTGAGACTGTCTATTCCACTGGCACTAGCGCTAGCTGGCTCCGTATTTTGCTTCAGTGTCTGTAGAAATTGAAATGCTTTAGTTTTCTCTTTGGATAACGTGTTTACTTATTAATACTATTATTAAATTTAAATATCTTCATAATCATAATTAAAACCTTATTTGCAAATTTTAATATTGTATTTAAAAAAAAAGTAAAAAGAGCTAAAAATCAGCAGAATTTTCATTCAAATTTAATATCATGTTTACACCGATAGAGTGCGTAAATTAAATTCATTCATTTGTTTACATGACTTTTCAATTTCCTAGCTTGAGAGTATACATGGGAGGAGATATTTTCAGTTGTATCGAGTTCGAGTATAATTCAAAACGAAGTTTATATGAAATAACGTGATATATATTATCAATAACCTCATCTTGCTCAACCTGCTTCATGCCCATCTCTTTCACATTTTTCCCTTTCTTTCTTTTGTTTTGATGTTCTTCTCTATTACGGTACTTATTCTACTTTCAAATCAGTTTACGCAGCAACTGTGAAAAAATGATTAACTGGGCTTCATCCAAATATTTTATAAAGTAATAAATTAATTTTTGAGAATTTAGATTTTGCGTGGTAAGCATTGAACCGGTAAGTTAATGTATTTGCAAGTACCATCCAGTATTAGAGAAAAATATTCAAAGTTCTCTCTTTGATTTTAGTTTCGCAAATATGCGCCTCGGCTAGTAATATGCAGTTCGTTTGGGAGCTAATTACGAGATAGGCTCGCGCGCGAGACAAAGAGTAATGCTTACACGTGCGTAATCATAAGCGCAAACGAGCAAAGCGACAAACGATTCGCTGCGCAGTCCGTTCGTTGGTTCGCTGCAAATCGACGCGTCGCGCGTCAAGCCTTTCTTCTTCGTCGAGTGTAATCGAGCACACGAACATTGCTTAGCGTAGCATAACACCCGTATAGATACCTTATACGAGCGCAAGTAAAGACAGCAAAATCGACGAGACTTTTTTTTTACTATTTTCGGTCGTCCTAAGCATTACTCTTTTTCGATTTCCGAAACAATGACGCTTTCACGGCTCTGCTCTATAACAAACAGCAGCTGCTGCTGCTTTCGGTCTATCTCTTCTGCGATGAACAATGGCTCGTAAAACCGACACACAATGAAAGGTACTCTTTTACCATTTTAAAGCCATTTCTAACAAATTTGAAATCTCAGCATTTGGCACTTTTATTTATTCTTTTAATAAGTAGACCGGACATTACAATATAATCTCGAGTGAATAGTTACGAAAGAAAACGCACAAAAAGCTTGATTCACAAAGTTCTAATCGCCTCTAACGATCTAGTAAAAATATAAGCAGCAGTCAATTAAAACAAAAAATATTTACCTGTAGTTTAGCTAATGGAATAATATCACAATCAGTTGGCCGATGCCATACGGTCTTCTGTGATGTTGCATTGTAATAGTAGAAACGAGATGTACTCTGGTCGAACAGTTCCCACCACTGATTATTATCAGTTTTTTTACTGCAATTAAAATAAAGTATCGTTTATTAATTGTTGTACGCATTACTTTTACGATTTATTTCCATAAATTCGTATTCACGAAACAAGAAAATAGTAAGAGTAATCCACAAAGGAAATATTTTATCGTTATAATTATTAGAAAAAATTACAAACAAGCATTAACGCAGAGTATACTTACACAGGTACTCCGGGGGGAGGATCCCAAACACATTCGCCCGTTGTCAGGTTTGCGTACATGTGCTCTTTTGTTCGTGGTTCGATAATCTCCACCCATTCCATCCTGAAAAATAAGTACAAGAGTAAATACCGGTGTTAAAAGAGCCCGAAAATGTTGCATAAGTATGCAAGTCAGCTTAAAAACTAGGGCAAAATCCGTTGTTTTATCATTAAGTGAAAGTGAAACACCTGTGGAGGTAATTAGTGATTTGCGGCGGACATTAATTGTAGTTTCCGAAACCACGAAATCTTCGTTTTGCTTCTATGAAAGTCTAAACGTTATAGCGCTCGTTACTCGCATTTCTCGACATTGTTTTGTTATCACAGATTGCTGCAGGTAAAACGGAAACGTATTTCAACACTAGAGATACACGTGATTAATCACTTTCAACTCCATAACTTTTATTTAAGAAAATAAGAAATAAATAATTTACATCATTTTTTATATTTACAAGCTTGAACGAGGCCAACAATTTTGTTGTAACAGAAAAATGTCTATAAATAATTTTTCAAAAAGCTTTAAGAAATTGTGTGTAAGACAAGAAATAACGGAAGACAAGGAGAGTTCTTGAAAAAGAGCTAGACGTCAATGGTCGGGGACAAATTACGAGAAAATCGAACGAACGACACGATTGCTGTAGACTTTAAAGGTCGTCGCGATTCTTTCGTAGATTTAATGCAACTTACACGCTCGAGCGCATCGCGTGTATTGATTTTACGGGTAAAGCTCGTTTATTTGATAAAGTCCTCGCGTCCGAGCACGACTGCGATGTAAAATTTTGAGCTTACGGACGTTGAAACGACGAAACATCGAAAAAAAGATGTACTCCAAGCCAGCGGAAGATGGCTTATCTCCTGGTGAATGGTTTAAGCGATAGCTCACGAGCTCTCTTACAAGATTATCGCAAAAGGGAAAGAAAACAACGGTCTATTTATAAAGTCAAAGCAACACGATCAAAGTGTGGTGCGCGCGACACTAGTACATTTTCATATCGAGGCAATGCACGCACAGTCGAAAATAATGCAAACCTTAATTATACACGACCCTACGTAACAAGCTATGCACTGGATGTTCAGTGATAACATCTTTACTAAAAACGGGCACCGCTGGTTGTCCCTGAAACAATATACTGCTAATTGTTCAATGACCAAGTTTCCAGCGGGCTTTTAACGATCAAGTACTGTGTGTACGCGCAACAAGGGGGAAGTTACCGCCTGCAGCTAAACTGCACACTAGATGCGATGCAAGAGTTGCTGCTGCTTCTATTTTCAAATTCGTTAAACAGAAATTCCCTTCCGTTGTTTCGACTCCGAAGAGTGAAGACTGACGTAACGATCGCTCTGCCTTTCTGCAGTCTGTATTCGAGCTCAAATGGTAAACATCTACATTCTACTTACTATACTACGATTTAAAAAAAGGATCCACTGGCTTTCGTATAGGCTCTAGCCTAGCTAAAAATATTTTAAAAATCTGATACGCGTGCATGCGCTTCGCAAAAAGTTTCAAAGCCGAGAGTATATAAACATTACATCATTTACGTCATTAAAAGAATGTACAGTTTTTAACGGTAATAGTTATCATTGACGAGTCGTGTGTTGCATCGCTGCCCAAATGTCATTTTACCGTATTCTTGCTCATGAAGCAGGAGTATTTTTATATTATTTTGTGTATCATATGGATGCATATAATTGTCTCGTGTGGTCGAAAATTTTCGAAAGCCAGTTCCAATTGCGACGACGTAAGAGAGAGCGAAAGAGAGAGAGAGAGAGAAGCTGCTGCAGGCGTCACAGAGCCTGAATACCAAAACGTCGTATATAGATCGCGAAGCGTATTTGCATGCAGATATTTTCAAAGTCCAATCGAAAATTGTAACTCATTGCGCCTGCTCCGCGGCTGGAATGTTGTATATGCACAGCCACGAGTAGGCGTATAGTAGCGAAACAGTAGCAGCAGCGGCACTAGCAGCTCGAGGCTGATGCTGCTGGCTGGTTTTTACATAAGCTCGATATCCTGCAATGACGAAGGGAAGTTTGAATGAGCAGTGCTATAGCAATATAGTCTCGTGGGCTAGTTCTCGCGCAGACGCAGTCGAAGATGTCCGTGGACTGACTCGAGGGTCGACATACGCGTGGCGGCCCTGCTCTGTTATAACATGCGACACCCCCGCAGCAAACTTTGTACATTGGCTAGAGCGGGCTGTGATCGTCGGACGCGCACTCGAATCTATATATGTACGTATATGAATCGCCATTCCTCGGCTTTCGCACGAGACAATTTAACTGCGCTGGCGTCGCTGCCGCGGAATCGCGTGCGCCGCGCTTCGAGTCGAGTTTGCGGCGCGGTGCAGCGCACGAGCTGCTGTCGAGAGGAGAAAGAGAGGAGAGCGTTTTAATGCGTTAATTAGCATAGCGTCGTACGTTCGCAAAGCGCAGAGAGACTGCGGTATAAGCCGTGCGGATGCTATAAAGGAGCGAAGGCAGATCGGAGCTGGACCGACACTGCGGCACACTGATATTTTCTTCCTTTCTCCGGACTCTGCCACACCGCTGCTGCTGCGTGTTGCTTTAAACGCGCCAGTCTGCCTCGGCGGATCGGGACTCGACTCGAGAAGTTGAGAGCCCGCGAGAGAGAGAGGAAAGCGAAATCAATCAACGTCGCGGCGGTGGCGGCGTTTCTTCCACCGATGCTGCAGCAGCGGCCGAGTAATCCCGGCACGACGGCAATAATCGTACAGAGCCGAGCGCACGTCTTCGTGCTGCTGCTGCCGAGCGAGAGAGAAAGAGAGAGAAACAAAACACGGCTTGTTCGCTGCTGCTTCTGCTGACTCGCAGCAGCAGCTCTTCTAAACACAGTGGAGAGCCGCGCGGCGCTCCAAAAATAATCGTTTCTTCGGATAGGGTATTTTTAGAGCGATTCCAACACCTACGTTAACGTGAGTTTCGCGCGCGCCATCGCCGTCGCTCTATACGAAATCTCTATACTGTCGTGCTCTCAACTGGCGGATCGTCGAGGCAGAGTATAGTAGTAGGTATATAGCGTCAGCCCCTCGTGCATTTAGTACAGTGCGGCATTTAAATAAAACGCATAGGCCGCACGCGTGTTATTGTGTCACTTGGTGCGCGTCTATACGCACAAAAGCGCCTCCGCACACATAGTCTCGCACACAGACGCGTCGTCTCTCAATTGATAAGGTCGACGCGCGAGGTAGTACAAGCGCACCGTGCAGCAGCGGCACAGCCACCGTCGAGCCGAGCAGAGCTCTCCTATACATATGATATGCATGAACGATGTCAAGCATTTAATTGACCCGAATGAACTCGCGCGCGCGCGTACGTTCAACGGCGTGAGCGCGACGACTATATGTACGCGCTCGATCTGCCATAATATACGCACTATAAAACGCGCCTGCCTGCCTGCGGACTGTGCGTGTGCTTTATGATGGTTGGCTCGCCGGTTCAGGCTCCAACATATATATAATACAATACGCCGCGCCAATTCAAACGCGCCCAGTGCCGTACACATTCGTGCGCGAGATAAAAGGGAAATTGAGCATTACTGCGAAAGCTCGGCCCGAGGTACGTTTCGTACCTATTATATTTTATACGAGTGCCGAACTGTCGCTGACACACGCGTTTATTGGACCACGACCGAAGGACAAGTGAGCGCGAATAGGACGACGACGACTAGCGCGTTATAGATCTCTTTCTTTCTCTCTCTCTCTCTCTCACTCTCTGTTATGCATCGACGCGCATCATCGATTCTCGCGGTAACTGCCTGGAAAAACCAAGAGTTTGTTTGGAAAATTGAATTCCTGAGTCGATTCGCGCTCGTGAGCTCCGGACGTGCGCTAGTCGTTAACATCTCTGGATATTCTCTCTCTCTATTCGTTTCTATTTATTATAGTTGCTCGAGCATCGGCTAATGATCCTCTCTCCCTCTCCTCGCCAAGTCGATATAAGGAAGAAGAAAAAAAAAATACGAAATCACTGTACGAGCCACTCGTAACGTTTGGCAAAAAGACGAAAGATCGGAACAAAGCTCGGGCGGCGCAGGATTCCGTTCGTTCGTTCGTTGACATAACGTACCGCGCGTGCAAATACTCAAAAAGAATAGGCGGCAGAGAATAATACGGTAACAGCCGCGCACGTATGTTTGTACAAGGTGTGAGAAAAGTGACTTTGCCGTGAAACAGAAAATGAGCAACGCCTCCTCGCTCGAAAATATTACTTATTTCAAAGATCCGGTAGCTTGCGCGCGCGCATAAATAGATCGGAACTCTGCTCTTTTTTGCTCCCTCGCTTGTTTTTTTTTTTTTTTTTTTTTTTTATTTCATTTTTNGCTTTTTTTTTTTTTTTTTTTTTGTTTTCATTTCATTTTTTGTTGCATTATTTTTTCCTCTTTCATTTCGTTGTTGTAGCTCGAGTCAATGAATCGATGCGTCTCGCACGATCGGCTGATCTCGATTCGTACGACGAAAAATGTGGAATAAAAGCGAGACGAGCTGCGAGTCGAGAAATCGAGAGAAAAACGACAATTCATTCGAGTTGACGGTTGTTCGCTTTTATAATACCAGAAAATCATCGAGCGAAACGAGAGCTAGAGCTCGTTGCTGGATATATAGTGGACGAGAAGTACACCTGCGGATCGCGAGCTAGCTAATCCCCGACATCGAAGAACGTGTTTTTCATAAAATAAGTAAACCATATCGCGTGTAAACCATTCAATTTTCCATCTGCTAAATTAAACAGAGTAAATACACTACGAGCCGAGCTATAGCTCACGGTCAACAGGCATTTCACCGGTTAGCGAGAAAAGACAATGAGTCGTCCTCGTCGTCGTTGTCATTGCTGGATAAAGGAGAAAAAGAGAAGAGATGGAGTTAAGCTAAACTATATAACGGAGCTGCGACATAGCCGTCGTCATCGTCGTATACAAGAGAGGAGTCCCACACCCAAAGCCAATGCGTGTGCATGCGCGAAACGACATTTCCAGCGCATAGGTATAGAGTAGATATATGTATACGCGGCTCTTGGTGCTAGCTAGCCCGGCGCACGGTTTATACA